TCTCATTGCTGTTTATCAATAAAATTTTGGAAAAAAAAAAAAATGACCAGTTTTGGTCAGTCATGATTCATCCCTCTGAGACTGGAAAAGGGCCTGTTTCCTCCAAGAAAAAGGGATAGCTATGTTTTACATCTTAGAAGTGGGGGCGGTGACTGCTTCCTAGGCAATACAGCATATATGTCAACTTTCCATAAATATGTATTTTTTGATAGGCTGTATTTTGTTTTCACATTCTTTTCTCCTTGATTTGTTTTCATGTTTGCTTGTTTTTTCTTTTCTTTTTTTCTTTTTTTTTTGGCGGAACCGGTGATTGAACTCAGGCCCTTGCACTTGCCAGGGAAGCGCTTATTCCACTGAGCCATCTCCCTGGCCCTCACGTTTGTTTTTTAATGTAAGTTTTGGGCTTTTTTTTATTATTACTAAGTCAGATTTTTATCCTTTCAATTTCTAAGCTTAGAAAGAATCTCTTTGCCCCTCAGTTTTGAAAATACTGTACATTTCATCTAGCTTTTTTCCCCCCAGTACCAGGAATCAAACTCAGGACCTTGCACTTGCCAGGCAGGCCCTTGTGCTGCTGAGCTATCTCCCTTGCCCTCATCTAGCTGTCTTAATAGCTTGATAATACAACTTACCAATATAAAGTTCTCACTAATACAGTGTCAAATTTTAAATTTCAAACTTTTAATATTTTAATTTTTAGAGAACCTAGAAAAGTTATTCTTCATCGTGGCTCAACAGGCCTTGGCTTCAACATTGTAGGAGGTGAAGATGGAGAAGGCATATTTATTTCCTTTATCTTGGCTGGAGGACCTGCTGATCTAAGTGGAGAACTCAGGAAAGGAGATCGTATTATTTCGGTAGGATAAGTTAATTGAATTGGTATTTTTATTCTCTTACCTATAACCTATTTATGACAAGAAGATTTTTTTAATCCCAAGGTTGTGACTATATCTTGGTTATCTTACTATGTTATACCTGAATTTCCAGAATCATAATGATACCATTTTTTTTTCTTTTTTTTAATTTTAGCACAGGGTCTACAAAGTCTGTCTACACAGATCGGACTTGTAGTGATTCTCCTGTTTTCAGCTTCCCAAGTGCCAAGATTACAGGCACGTGCCCAATCTCAATCGCCACCTCAGCACACCCCGTCTTTGCACAGCAGGCTGGGGCAAAAAAATGTATTTTATTAAAGATTTTCATTTATGTTTGACCTTCTTAAAAGGAATCAGTTTGTTGGAGGGGTGTTTTGTTGTTGTTATTTATAGTACTAGACATTGTCTCTGATTGTTTTTACAGTCTTCCTTGGTGGTTTTGGTAGGGTCTTAATATGTATACATTCTTGTATGCTTTTAGGTTTTTCTGTTAAACATACAGTATAGTGTTTATTTTATATGTGTAATAGTTCTCTTTTTTAAAGTTCATATATGATCTTCTATAGTCTATAGTACTTTATAATGAATTCTTTTCTTATGTTTCAAGTTTTGCATTTTGAACTTTTTTTTAGTAGAACTTCATTTACCTTCAGAATCCAGTGCTGCCTGTATTGGAAAATGGTGTTTTAGGGAAGCATGTTACAGTATTTGTAGGGGGCTCTCAGGAGCATCATTCTTAGCACATTTTTCCAATGACAAAGCTAAAATTTAGGAATTCATTTGCCCACAGTCAGTGCAGTGAGAACTTACCTTAACCACTACCTATTGCCATGCTTTTAATTAAAAGTAGAGGTAAACACTTTCTGGCAGAATTTTGAGATCTAGAAAACAGGTTGGCAGTGCTATGTAGCATTGCTATTTTAATCATGCACTGATATAAATCAGTAGACTTTTTCTGCTACAAAATAAATCAGAAATATTGCTCAAACTGAAGATAAATGTGATTGGGACATGGTAAGAAAAACTTTCCAGAAATGTGAAATGCAACTTTTATGCAGTTCTCAGATTATTCTCCCTCCTCTGTGACTTTCCCTGTATATACTTGGGTATATCAGAATATTTCTTTTGAGGAGCCTGTATAGTTCAAAGGTGGACTTTAAACAATCAGAAAGAATGGCTCATCACATTAAAGAAGTGGGAAATTATTTTTATTTA